GGAGGGGCCTGGCAGCGGCGAGGGCTTGCCAGCGGCATAACCTGCTTTGTGTTAGCCGTGAGAGAGCGCGTCTCTCCTTGCCCTGGGAGCAAACTGAGGCAACCAGCCCATGTCTGCGTTGGGCGCGTGTTTCTTCCTTTTTTTATGCTAATGGAAGTAAAACAGCCTTTCGGGAATTAGTGTTGTGGAACGCTGTGAGCGGGGACCCTGCGCCTTTAGCGCTAAAAGCACATCAAGTCACCTTTGTCCCGTGTCCCCTCATATAATCCTCCTTTTCTGTCAGCGGGAAGCACTGTTAAGAGTTCCCTCAGATGTGCTGAAGCGTGTGGGGTTTTACTTTTACAGGGTGGAAAAATACAGACCCATGAAACTGTGTGAAATAGTTGGAAATGAAGATACTGTGAGCAGGTTGGAGGTGCGTAGCTGGCTGTCCCGTTGTTTTTTTTAGGGCTTAGGTCAAAAAATGTAATTCTGCATAGATCCACAGACCAACAAAAGCACTTTTGTATTTTTACATCCATACTTGAGTATGTGGAAGGAACTTTCTGATTTACTTTAGAAATCGCACGTTTTAGGATATGTTTGGTCTTCTAAGGAAATACACCGTCTTGAATTGGCCTGTTGTTTAAATTGGCCCTGGTTTGATACAACCTGGAAAATTTGTAGATGTTATAATAATATCGTTTCAATGAATAAATATAATTTAAATAACAACTGAAAGAAACACAAATAAAATGTTTTTATGGAAGAAAAATATATACCTTGACAAATTAGATTGTGAGCACAGTATTTGTTAACAGAAAGCTTATACTAGCAGACATACAATTAAAACAGATGCAAAGAGAAGGCAAGAGTACTAAAGACCTGTGGAATTAAGTGCTTTTAAGTTTTTCCATGTTATTCTAGAGACTGACTTCTAACAGTTCAACTAAAAAAAAAAAAAGCAGCAAAGTTAAAAATAAAAATGAAAGCAGGAGGGCAAAAAGAAATGGTAGCTGTTTCTTACGCTTAAAATAGAATTGGAAACTATTTGTTCCCACTCTTTCTTATATAATTTTTTATTGTTATTCTTTCTTAGGTCTTTGCAAAAGAGGGGAATGTACCAAATATTATCATTGCTGTAAGTATTACTGTGTTGTACTGTATTTCACTGCATTGACCCTGGCTTCTGAGATCCAGCTACAATAGCCTGCCAGTATAGATTTGTATTTATTGTGCCTGAATGTACTGGCAAGAGAGAGGTTGATTGTGTGGTCACGGAGCACTGCTCTTGGGAGAATACACAAGGGAAAAAACAACCTTCTGGTAAAAACTAACTTGGCCCTTAGGTGCCTATTGAGGCATGTCTTGAGCTTCTCCCTACAGTGTTTCTCTCCTTGGTTGGAGGCAGGATCTTGAACTCTGGCAGCCTCTAGTCAGGTGTTCTCTCTGCAGCTCCTCTGGTGCAGCGTTTTTCGTGACTGGGGAGCATTGTAGAGAGTACAGCTTGGAAAATAACGTTAAACTTACCAGCAATTGCCGCGTTTTTACATTTCTAGGGGCCCCCAGGAACAGGAAAAACCACCAGTATCCTCTGCTTGGCTCGTGCTCTGCTTGGTCCTGCATTAAAGGATGCTGTTTTGGAGCTGAATGCCTCAAATGACAGGTGAGAATGAATAAACCTTATTAAACTTTTAAGGAAGAAGCAAATATCCATTTTTATTTTTAGTTCCACTCAGGCTGGCTTGATAGGCTTACTGCTAAATTAAGGCCTCTAGAACTTATTTTAATGCAGCTTTTCTAACTAAAAGGCAGGCAATCTTTGGTGTCCAGCTATCAAATAGATATTATTACTTGTTGTTTTATCAATTTGATAGATATTTTCGTGCAGAAAAACAGAAACAGATCCATAATGGCACTGTTTTCTTGAATTTACTTTAAAGAGCTAAGCTTTCTGCATTCATGAAGATCCTCGTAAGAATGAAAATTGAGCAAGTTGTAGTGAATCTCTTCAGTGTTTAGCAAAAAAAGTGAAGTGGTAGAAATCAGGGCTTTAAGGGCAGTTGGGGATGAAAATGTAGGATAAGGGTGTTAGGTATGTAGAGGACACTGGTTCTACCCTAAGGGTCAGGCACTCAGGGATAATTGTATTTCCCAAGTTCAGCAGCAGACCTGTCCTGAAGTGTTCTGAGAACGTTTCCTGGAGGGTTGTTTATGAATACAATGCATTTTACCTGCCTTTGTTAACATCAGTTATGGAAGAGCTATAGAATCACAACATTCGTTTTCTAAACAGAACAAATAAGTAAAATCCTTTCTTTTTAAAAGTAAGTCAGTGTTGGGACTCTGTCTAGGAAAGTGTTGGTGTTGTGCTAAAATGATGCAGTCTATCCAGCTGTTTTTCTTAAACTCTTGGAGTTATAGCTGGGTCTGTGGATGTAGCTGTGTGGGACACTGGCAAAACAGCAAAGCAGTTTTAAGTGCTTCTGCCCTTGTTTGTTTATTACTCCTACCTTTTGGAAAATATAAGTCATTTTGTGAAAGTATTGCAAATAGGGTTACTGATTATGTAAATATATATACTGCTACTGTTAAATTATTTTTTCCAAAACTGAGGATTATTGGTGTTCAAATCTGAATCAGTTAGGGAGTCTGGCTTACAACGTGGCTGCATAACAGTTACACTGGCACAGCTGAAGGGGCGAGAGCAAACAGCAGGAGAACTGGGAGCTCAGGAGTGCTTCAGCCACTGTGGCTGCTGAATAAAATCTATTATGTTATCTCACCTAACTGATCATGAATCACTTGAACTGTTGTTCCAGAGGCATTGATGTTGTGAGAAACAAAATCAAAATGTTTGCCCAGCAAAAGGTCACACTTCCAAAAGGTCGGCATAAAATAATAATCCTTGATGAAGCAGACAGGTACGTTGTTTTTTTCTTAACCTCAGCTACCGTGTGAAATGTGTTGTGTCGGTCCTGTCTGCGGAGCTACTGTCTTGGATGGCCTTAGATGCTTCTATCAGGATATCAAAAATAATTTGGGAGGAAAAAAATACACACTGAATGCTGTTCTTGTGAGATTACTTATATCAAGCAGAGATCATTGCTTCAGAGAAGATGCTGAATATTGGGGTGAAAGACTTTGGGATTTAGCTGGATGTAAAATAGCTTCTTCCAGTGCACTGGTTCTTTCTCTTTGGAAAGAGTCTGGCTCATGTAGACAATTTCTCTGGATGAAAACAGGACATTCTACTCTATCTGCATATAAGTAGTAGTATTCTTAGCAGAGTATTAATGCTTAATTAATGCTTCAGAGTATTAATGCTTTAATTTTGTGTGTTAGTTTTATTGAGATCTTGGTGACTACCTGCATTGCAGGATGATTTGTTCACATGACTAGAAAAAGCTGCTTAGTTTACCAAGCCAGAATATCAGGTAATTCACAAAGCACTGTCCAATGTCAGTAAACTCTGAAGCTTGTCTAAAATTAGCTATTGGGCTGCACCTGTAAGTCAGTGAAGAGCAGAATCTGTCCTAACTCCTTTTCTCCCTCAGCATGACAGATGGAGCACAGCAAGCATTGAGAAGAACAATGGAAATTTATTCCAAAACAACGCGCTTCGCACTTGCGTGCAATGCCTCTGACAAAATCATAGGTAAAGTGCTGCTAGTCCCTGGGTGTTTTTGTTGTGTGTTCTCCATACTAATGGCTAACTTCCAGGGCTCTTTTCAGAAATACCTTGGACCTGCTTGTCACGAGAAACCACGGTGCTTCTGAAATATCAAACCACCTGTATGTCCAGTTGATAAAAGAAGAGTATCTTTGTGTAGCCAGTGAACCCTCTGAACAGCTGTTCTTGATGGATAGAGCTATGTGTGATCGCAGCAGCTGTCTTCTCATGCTTTGAGCTTAATCTCCGTCCAACTCTGCTACACTTCAGGATGTTTGATGTGTTGTTTACTGAGTATTGAACCCCTTTCGTTGTCCTTTCTGCTTCAGGTTTGCCTATAGGCAAACCCATTGTAGACCTTCAGACTTTTCTTGTTGGTCTGTTAAAATGGCATGATAAACATACACATTCAGAAAACCAAGAGAACAGAAGAAGCTGAGCTTCATATATATTTGCAGAAATCTGGGAAAACTCAAGTAGCACGTTTGGGATCAAGTGAAGGACTGTAACAATTGCAAATGCTTAAGGAGATGCCACGTTCAGTCTGGAGCTGACATGTTCTTTTTCTTTAAAAGAGTACAAATGAAGAGTTGGAAACTGAGGTAGCTCCTTCCAAGATGAAAACAAATGTGAGTGGTTTTTTTTGAGAAAAGAGGGAAATGCTAATTACACACCTCTGTCCTTAGAACCTATTCAGTCGCGGTGCGCGGTGCTGCGTTACACCAAGCTGACGGATTCACAAATCCTTGCAAGACTACTGAAAATTGTTGAGAAAGAGGATGTACCTTACACAGATGATGGACTAGAAGCCATTATATTCACAGCCCAAGGAGATATGAGACAGGTAAAAGAAGAAAGGCAATGAAACAAAGGCTTCTGTTTAAACCCCTTTGAATTGTGACTCTCAAGGATTTATCTTTGGAGAGGTAAAGCAAAGGGGATATGGCCTGTGGCACAGGAGTAACTAAACTATTTGGTTTTGTGATGTTTAAAGGTGTTATCTGCTCCTTAAAAGTGAATTGGTGGGAGCTGGATACCAGATTTGTGGGAGGGAACAAAATCTGCATACATTTGCCATTTACTCTGTTGCTTAATTGTGAACTGCTTATTTGGCATCATTTTCTGAAAAGTGTATTTCATCCTCAGGAGGGGAGCGATAAAATGAAGTCTTTTTTTTTCTTTCACAGGCATTGAACAACTTACAGTCTACGTATTCTGGATTTGGCTTTATAAACAGTGAAAATGTCTTTAAGGTTAGTAATAGTGTTGTAAACCAGTGATGCTGGAAGTTTCGCACTACGGCTGCCTGAGACCTTCGGTCAGACATCTAAGCCTTTGAATGTGCTTTGCCTGTTTGCAGACAGCAAATTACGTCTGTAGCAAAATAGGTACGTAGCAAAGGCAGCATTAGGCTGTTAAAAAGCACGTGTGTCTTTTGAAAAGGGAGAGCACGAGCCGTCCCTAATGGCACACCTGAGACTTTGTGGCTTTCCAGCTCTCTCAAGGCACACAAATTACGTAACTGCTGGGAATTTTCACCAGAAAAGTCATATCACTTAAAATTTTATCTCAATTACAGAATGTGCCTGATTCAGTACTTCAGCTGTAGAGAAGCTTGGTGAAAATACCAGAGATTTAATGCAGTCTTCTAATATTTTGAAGTATAATGTTTCTCTTTGACATAGGTATGTGACGAGCCTCATCCTCTGCTTGTGAAAGAAATGATACAACACTGCATAAATGCAAATATTGATGAAGCATACAAGGTTGGTTCTCATGTGTTGTGTCTGCACAGACAGACCCTTTTTCTCTACAGAATTCTTGTTTGTTTTGAAGAATTCACAGTGTGTGTTGGTTTTTTTTAAGATAAGGGCAATATTATGCAGATGAGTTGATGAATTAATTCCTTTTCTTGCGGGGTGTCTGTTCAGATGAATGAGCCAACAAGCCAAAAACCAAGTTGCATTGAAATTACTTGCTAAACAATTGAGGTTGAGTCATTTGATAAATAGTACGTACAGTTCCAGTAGTTATATACAGCTGTTCCAAAAGTGAATATACTCGACTCACCTGGTAAGTTTTGCAGATAAATGAGGGATTACTCTTGCCTGCAGATTCTTGCCCACCTGTGGCGACTTGGATACTCTCCAGAAGATGTGATCGGCAACATCTTCCGTGTGTGTAAAACCTTTCAAATGCCAGAATATCTGAAACTGGAATTTATCAAGGTTAGTACTGACGTAGTTCCTGGTGGGCTCTTTTGGGCTTTTTTTAGAAGAGGATGTGATCCCTAATGCAGGGGCAGCCTCAGGGTTTTCTTTTCGAGATTTGCTATATATTTTGCTATTTACAAGGGCGTGTAGTGATAGGACAAGGGGCAATGGCTTTAAACTGAAAGAGGGGAGATTTAGATTCGATACAAGGAAGAAATTTTTCACTCAGAAGGTGGTGAGGCATTGGCACAGGTTGCCCAGAGAAGTTGTGGCTGCCCCATCCCTGGAAGTGTTCAAGGCCAGGTTGGATGAGGCTTTGAGCAACCTGGTGTAGTGGAAGGTGTCCCTGCGCATGACAGGGGGGTTGGAACTAGATGATCTTTGAGGTCCCTTCCAACCCAAACCATTCTTTGGTTCTATGATTCTATATTAATGCAAAAGAATTATTTTTTTGTATCATCAGTTTGTCAGTAAGAACAGCCACTTGAAGTTTAACGTCCAACCACCTGTAGAAGTGCCAAAAGTCACTTCAGTGATCAAACAGAATTAATAACAAGTGTAATGCTGGCTGAATTTATTATTTACATCTAAGCCTCAGATAACTCCTTGAGAACTTTCTTCAAGTGCATACTTGATTCTAGTCTGGTAGATAGTAAAATATTAAATTATATTAACAACCAGTTGACAAATGGTAAACTGGTGTAATGGAATCACTCTTCAGATTTAAAGCCTGTCCTCAAATATACACACCTTGCTCCTTACACAAAGGAAGTGGGAAAATACAGGCTTTGATTTAAAAAAGAAGAAAAAAAAAAAAGCATTTTAGTTGGTCTACCTGAGAAGATACACTTCTCTTAAATTCGAGTGACTCTGGAGTTGGTCTTTTAGCAGGAAAGGATGTGTTATATTCAGTCAGGAACCATCCTACACGTAGACTGAGGGAGAAAGAAGTTTTTATCATGTCTCTCTCACCAGGAAATCGGGTACACTCACATGAAGGTAGCAGAAGGTGTGAACTCTCTGTTACAAATGGCTGGACTGCTGGCCAGGCTGTGTCAGAAGACTGCAGCCCCTGCAGCACCTTAGGTATCTCACGGAGCCGAAGCCTGCGTTCCGGAAGGTGAAGGCCTGGCATAGAGGTCAGCGGCTCGTGTGCGTCCTCAGTTCTGCGTGCAAAGAGCCTATTCCCTTGCTGTTGCTAAATCGCAGAAAAATAAGCAGGTTCTGTTGTAAAAATGTTTTGTACTTTTTTTATTTAGACCAATAAAGCTTTAAAATGTACTTTAATTCGAGAACTCTTTACCTGTTGTACAACCGAGGTAGAAGAGGGCTGTGAGAGTCCAGAGCAGTCAGGTCTGTCTGGTGCACTCAGCATCACTGCTTGCGTCAGTGGTACCGGTTCCGAACAGCAGGAGAAACCAAAAGGGAATCCTGGTGTTAGTGATGACACTTCAAGGCCGGTCATGAGCGGTGGTCTCACCGAGACCAGGTAGGAAAAAGCTTGGCACAACGCGGGGCCTTTAATGAAGTTGGAATTGAGGCATGCTGAGCAGGTGCCACTCCTGGGTGCTGCTTCTGTGCTGTGGGTAAGGAAAATACTTTCACCAAACATATACAGGAGAAATACTACACATTCCTTAATGGTCCCAGCTATTTATTTTGGGTATTTCTTTAAAACTTTACCAAATTCTAGGATGCTCTGAGCTGCCTTCTCTGTTCTTGCTGCCCAGGTTAGATGATGTCATTTTACTATAGTTTCAGCGTACCAAAAAGCTACAGCATCATGCTTTCCTGTCTGTTTGGTTTTGGAAACCACCTCGCCAGTGCGGATGAGCAATCAAGTGTGACATGCAGAGTGAAAGCAAATCTAAATTGAACTTGACCACCTCCATATCTGATGTGAGAGATGAGCAGAACTATCTTAACATAATTAAGTGCGTTCTGATTGTAGCAGTCAAACAAAACACAGTAGAACTACAAGTTACTGGTGCCTGCACTTCACCCTGCCCGTTCTGCTGATGGTTTCCACCCCAGGCATTCCATTGCCCACACGCAGCGCTCTCAGTGCCACATGGATCTTCACTGTCGGCTTCAGTCTAAAGCCTGGCCCCTGCGCTGAAGGGTGGCTGCTTGCACCCTCCGTTTCCCTGACACGGGCACAGGGGTAATGAGTTTCAGCAGCAGGGGCTGGCAGCATCCTAAATTGCCCTGTCAAGGCTTTCTGCATCTGCCCTGCCAGAGCCAAGCCTTTTTAATTCCAAGTGCAGGAGAGCAGGTTCATTGACAGCTAAAGCGCAGACACGTTTGAGCTTGCTCCCAAACGGAATAAAGCGAACAGCTCTTAGAACAACGGATGTCGTACTCAAAGTACGTTCTTCCTTCGCTAGATACTTACTGAACTTACTTTTGAGTACTTAGCCTTACCTAGCCAGTGAGTTGCCACTGCTAGCACAAACGCTGTTAAATATCCGACTAATAATTTAGTATTAAGGGGCTTAAGCTGCTGAGTTCTACAGACACAGCGTCCCAGCTTTTGTCCGCAGAAACTTCAATAAAACACTAATTAAAGAGCAGGTTAATTTTCCCTTGGCTGTGCCGCGCAGCCAGCCTGCTCTGTCTTTGCAGGCTTCTGTCTTCCTTAAACATGTTCAGTGCTGAACGGGGAAGGAAGAGGTGTAACCATGGAAGTTTTGTAAAATAGCAAACATCGTGTCGGGAGGACTCCTGAGGCTGGAGGTACCTACCTGTGGTTTGCTGTGTTGGTGCCAGCGGAAGGGTGAGAAACACGGTGGGTCGCAGTTCCTGTTCCTACCTGGTTTAAGTGGTTTTCTTCTTGACTCCATTCAGTAGCTGCGTTTCAACTCCAGTTTGGAGCTGACTCTTCTGGGCTAATCCTCTACAGCACTGGGGGGGACGTAATCGTGCTCTCGTTTCCTGAGAAGGGGAGTAGTATTGATCCGAGAGGCCCCCATGCAGCCTGTTCTACCGACGGTGGTTGCTCACCCTCTCCGAGCGCAGAGCTACTCAAGGCTACTAAGGCTGCCCAGCTCCATTTGAGAACCACACCAATGGTGCCAAAACTACTTTTCTAATGTGTCTTAAATTGAAATCAGGAGGTGAATTGCTCACTTGGCTGCCTACCTAATGCGAGGAAAGGGATACACGGACCCAGGGGAGACATCATTTCTCCTTGCGTTATGTCCAGACAACACAGGATCTGTCAGTTTTGGTTGAGCACCAGAAATCCTTGCACACCTAAAAACGAGTCCCGAAAGGATAGTGTGTCAGGGAACATACTCACAGGTATGTACTCACCCTTTGCAAGGAAAAACCGTAAGGTGTTTCAGAACAAGGCTGTAATGATATTGACGAAAGTTCCTGTAACAGTCCCTGAATATCTTCCAGCATAATGAGATCACTGGTGGAAAAGCACTTCAGGAGCTTTACAATGCTAAGAATGGATTTACCCCTCACTACAGCTGGCCGTTCTGGAGAGCTGCAAGGGAGGGGTTTGCTCAGATGCCCAGTAAGAGGAGGGAAGATACTCCATATCCAGCTCCTGCCCTGCCTGCTTCAGCTCCACAACTTTCAAACTCAGATTTTGGCAGCAGAGGAACCTTGTACCAGAAAAACGTAATTGGTCTGATCTGCCTCCTTGCTTAGCGAGGAGAGCAGTAGATCTTCTATTTGAGTATTCTGGCCGCACGGACACCTAGCGGCTAAAACTTTCTGGGAGTTCTCTAGCTGGATCTATTACTGTGTGCCAAGGATCTTTAACTGCTGCTGATCTCCTCATTTAACGGCTCCCTCCGGTTACGGATGAATCACCCGTAGGCGTAACATCACCGCACGTCACCGAAAGGGGAGTTCACCCTTCCCTGCCAGCAAAAAATCCACAGTCCGCAGCACCTCATGGAAAGCGGGAGCTTCTTCGGGTGCCGAGTTAGTCACCGAGGATGAACCAAGGATGGCACTTTCATGGTGCTGCGACACCAGTAGCGAAGGCGTCTCCTCGTTTCCTTGCCCATGGGAGCCTGTGCAGAGCCAGCCCAGGCTGCAGCTGTCACCGCGTCTGCTCCAGGCTCACCAGGACGCTGGTGTCCCCCACCTGTGCGAACTTTTTGCAGAACATTTGAACAGAAGGAAACCAGAGCATGAGAGAAGCTGGGCTGGGGTGAGCGGAAAACCAGGCTGTAGCTGACTGCGTGTGCGTACCGTACATCCCTGAAGCACACTGGACTTTCTCTGTCGTACAAGTCCTGTGGGAGCAGCAACAAATGCGTTGGTAGGAGCTACAAGTAAATGTTCTCCTAAACTACACTCCAAACCACCTGCTGTTTCAGCTGCACGAACCGTGGCCACCCATGGTCTAAGCGATTCTGCTAAAAATACAGCCAAGGCACTTGCGGGAGGAAGCACCTGACATCCCCTTCTCCCGCTCCGGGGCTCGCTCACCCTTAGCTCCACTTCTCTGCTCACTCTTACCAGTCCCGGAGACATGAGTAGGGGCTGCGTCCCTTCTTGAAGCACAGTGTTCTGAACTGATTTTGAGGAAAGGCCTTAAGGAGCTACATTTTCTCCCCGTCAGATCCCGCACACCATTCCGTGTCATCTCGGCCTGTCTCACCCAACCACGCAGACATCTGCATCGTAGCAAACTCGAATAAACCACCAGATTTGCTTTGGAGGATTTTCAATTTTAATAAATAAGTGGTACAAGGGTGCCAAATCTGTGCATCAGGGCTCAAGAGACCGAGGTTACGTTTCAGGGCAGGTGCTCCCCATGGCAATGCTGAAGGACTGGTGCAGTCTGAGGCTGGCAGCTGCGGCTCGGACCTCATCGGTTGTCGCGGGATCTTTGTACCGTTATAAAACGGATACCGAAACCCAAAACTGCCATAGACAGACACTGCGAATTACAAGCTGTGGATCAGGTCGGGATTTAATCCTCTTCGGCTTTTGTGAACAGGTGAGGAACTCATTTAGTTCCAGAGAACCACTGCTGTTGTGAAAGCAACCTCTGCCTTGCTGGGTCCTCTCCTGCAGGAAAACACTTCCGTAGGAGAGCGTAGGATCTAAAGCAGAACATAATCCCTGTGGCTTAATACCATCACGCATGAGTCACCCTGACAAATTAAGAAGCTGGCTGCGTTACTGCCCAGCAATTCCGAGATTCATTTCGTGCTTGACAGAAGAAAACACTGTGCAGACTGGCCATCCCCCCTCGAGTAGATGTGCAGGGAAATGAGACGGGATGATGAGTTCTTGGCTTGCCCGTGGTCACTGCCGGGCAGAGCGCTTTCTCCAGTCGCAGGTTTGCAGTTGGACTTCAAGCAGAGCGTTCCTTCCTTTCAGCAGCACCCCTTCAGCGTGGATCTTGGGGACAATTTGGAGAAGAGATCTCATGAGGGATCGAAATCTCCTCTCTCCCTGTGTGCATGCTCACTGGGTGTGCTCTCACAGCTCAGCGAAGGACTTCTTCAGACTTTATGCAGCATACTTGAAATAAGAGAGGAAAAAAAATAGTGAGTCCACTGACTTTTAATCCCTAATTTCAGTTTCTTAACTCTACTGCCTGTTACATTTTCTTCCCAGGGACGAGCAGTGAGGTACACTACAAAAACTCCACGTCTAAGCAGCAGCCCCAGCCGTGCTCCCGGACCCCTGAGCAGAGCAGAGGGCACAGAGGTGCCAGGAGCCCATTTCTGAATCCACCCTCCCTTGGTGGAGAACTTCTGCTGGTATTTGTGGGTTGGACCTGGAGATTTTACAGCATTAATCTGCTAGCAAATGCTGTAACAGAGGCATCACTATAATGGCAAAAAATGCATCGGCAATTCTAGTTTACTTATGGAGCTGCCAGAAGCTATTTACCCATACAGCCATGACAGCGTTTTGTTAGGGCTTACAACTGGAGGTTTTCCCAGAAAATCTGTCTCCCCAGTGCTTTGTAGGACAGCTGTTCCTCCCTCTTCTACCTTCCCAGCATCATTTATCACTGCGGGGTGGATTTATAGAGCTTTAATCATTACTCTCCACCAAATCAGGTGCAGCTTTGCTATGCATTTTGGGCATCACCTCTTGACAGTTCCTCTCCCAGCTGTGAAGGCCATGGGCACCCTCTCAGTTACAGACAGTGAACAGGGCAGTCTGGTGTGCCAGGTGCCATGGAGCCACTCTTGGAGCAAAAACCAGGGCCAAGCTGTGATTAACGCAGAAACATAATCCCCCCCCTCCTCAAAATTTCTCTGTGAAAGAGGAAAAAGTGCAGAAGTGCTTGTAAGAATTAC